GAAAGTCGAAAATATCACTTTTTACCAAAAATTACAAAAATATTCACCAAAATTAGAGAATTGAAGACATCATCACAAAATGAACAAATCTGAGAGAGGTCCACATGTAGTACCTATATGTGTAATATCAAAGCAATCGGACTTGCGGTTTTTAACAAGAAGTCGAAAATATCACTTTTTACCAAAAATGATAAAAATATTCACCAAAATTAGAGAATTAAAGATATCATTACAAAATGAACAAATCTGAGAGAGGTCCACATGTAGTACCTATATATGTAATATCAAAGCAATTGCACTTGCGGTTTTTAACAAGAAGTCGAAAATATCACTTTTTACCAAAAATGACAAAAATATTCACCAAAATTAGAGAATTGAAGATATCAACATGAAATGAACAAACCTAAGAGAGGTCTACCCAAGGTACATATACACCAAGTATCAAAGCATTCAGGCTTGTAGTTTTCAAGAAGAAGTCGAAAAAGTAAAACATTGACACGGACGACGACGACGACGACGGACAATCACTCATATGATAAGCTCCGCTCGACAAAGTCGACAGCGGAGCTAAAAATGTTGCAAATATTAATGAAGAATTAGAGTTAGCATTATAGGTAACTATATTAAGAGAAGTGACTACCTGTTCTTGGAAAAATCTATAGCCAGACCCATTGGTTGTATAAGGCCACTTATAAATGTTATCCTGTTAGTTCCATCAAGTCCAGCTCTTTCTATCTTGGCAGAAGTTCCATAATCACCCCAATACATGTACCTACAGAAAGAGAGGCATAATTTGAATTAGCAGTCAAGAGTGAAAGCTGAACCAACAACTTCATCGTCCCATCCAAAGTTAAGCTACCACAACAACTTTACAACAATACAACTGCAGATGCATGATGCTTGTTCCTCTAAGCAAAAAATACTTTTTCTCCACAACGATACAACAGGCACATGGTGTTAGTCCCTATACCACAACCTCCACAATAATACACCAGGTAATTATAGTGCTGGCCCCTCTAAGGCAAAATATTAGTCTTGAGAATCCCTAGGATTTGCTTAATGTCAACATTTGACTTTAACTCTGATCTGGTTAAGTACACAGGGATGGCAGGATAAGGGTTAAATTTCCCATACACAGAACTCACATAAATTTTTTTTGCTTTTAAGAAGATTTAAACCATCATAATAGTCTGCAAATAAAAGCAAATCATGCACAAACTTCCTTTCAAAGAAAATTATTCTCAAGAAAAGCTTGTAATAGATAACAACATGAACTACAATCGCTGTGACACGCTTGTTAAAAACTGATAAATTTTTCTGGTTTTAGTTCAAAAAATAATGAAAAATTGCTAAATTTATCAGTTTTTCAAAACGCATTTTTTTCAAACATACCTATTAATAGGATCAACAACAATGCTTCTCGGTTGATCAAGATTAGTTATAAGAATCTTGCGATATGATCCATCCAACCGAGATACTGCGATGTGATTTTGGTGGTTATCTGTCCAGTATAGGTTAAAGTTGATCCAATCGATAGCAATCCCTGAAAATTCAAAGTGAAAGCATGTCACATTCTGTAAACTTTTCAGCGATTTTCCTAAGGCAGGAAAAACAGCAAACTCATAACAGTGAAATTTCCATTCTAATCTTCAAAATTTCACAAAATGGAACGCTGTTTGAGAGGAAAAAACGAGTCTTGTGGTTCTCACCCTCAACAAGATATAGCTGGCTGCTTACATCCAAGATTTATTGCCTATATGCAAATTGTGGTCAAGTCTTGTAGGATCAGTAACCTATCAGAACGTCTGTTACAAACAGCTTTATAAAGCAACATAGCCTGCTTTAGTAAGATGCACTCTAGTTGGTTGACAAATCCCCTCAGACCAGAATTGAATGTGAAATAATAAAATTCAAATAAATCCTAGTTTGTTGTTATTGCTATTTTATTCATTTTCTCAACAATGTATGTTCACAAAAAATAACAAAATAAGATGCATGCAATAAAACAAAAAAAACAATAAAAATACAGTAAAACAAGCCATGCATGGCACAGTCCCCGTTGGTTATCGATTTTAAGATATGTAGTTTTATTTATAGTAATATAGCTGAAATATAAACATGTCAGGAATATGATTATGATGATTGTTTGATATTAAAATTATTGACATTTGTATCTGATCGTCAAACGTGTATTAAGAGATATTGCCCTGGAACAGCATTAATTAAAACAAAATCCGGCATTTTGAATACATGTATAATGAATATATAAAATTTGAACATAATCAGTCAAAGCATAGAAACCCATTCTTTTATTTAAACAAAATGGCCGCTAGTCAGCCATTCTGAATCCGATCTGACAAATAAAATGATGTGCATCAGGAACCTGTAATGTTTAATGTATGTACCAAGTTTGAACATAATCCATCCATAAATGCCAGAAATGCTTGATATTTGATGATTTTTTAGCACAAAAACCGAATAGGATCTTCAAACCAATA